TGACGTCACACTTAGTTACGATTTCTCCGTAAGTGTGACGTCAACACCCCCCACTCCCTAACATTAATGCGGAATAACTACGTATTCTTCTGTTAATTTGATAAAACAAAAAATACGTGTCTGATATTTTCGTGCGATCTTAATGACGGACTAATTACTTTTTTGGTTTTTTTACCCTATCGACACGCCTATTGTCCCGTTTTCGAAAACTAAAACGTTAATAGCCACGTTACTCATAACAGTGTGTACTTGTATATTTGTGGAGAAATAAAGTCTTTGATATAACAAAGTTACATAACATCTACGATTCCCGGGTCGGGCAAAGTATTACTGGATTTTTTTTTAATATTTTTTATTTATCTCAGTAGTAGCACGAAGCCTGGAAACGTGCCGTATATGGCAATAGGCTCACCCCCTATTACATGGGACTCATAACATAAATAGTGAAAAGTGGGTGTTACTTCTGTGTGCACTTCTGCCTACCCCTTCGGGGATAAGAGGCGTGATGTTATATGTTATACATTACATCTTTTACAGGATTCTCAAGACTCGGATAGTTTATCAGACGCTCGTAACAAAAGAGGGTGTTTGGACAGTGGATCGCAAATAGCTAAGGTTATGAAGAGGAGCAGGGACCCTGAGGAGTTCAGGGTGAGTTTTAACTCCTGGTATGCCGAACGTAGAATCCCCAACGATCCTCAAACTCCTAATCCCAAAAAGACCGGTAACGCATTGTAACGCCTCTGGTGTTCCAGGTGTCCATGGGCGACGCCGATTGCTTACCCATCAGGATATATCCTGCTGCTCGTTTACCGGCTTAGGCCAAAAAAACGAATAAAAAAAAATACGCGAGACATAATATGTTTTGTATTGTTTTTGACATTTTCTTTCACACGTTTTTTTTAAACGTTGCCCCCCACTAGGATTTTCTCCTGTGTCGTGTGTACGTTTACAAACATACAAGTTCACATACACATCACACCCAGACCCGAAATAACAATCTGTGGATCACACATAGAGCTTCTCCGGCAGCCACCACACCGACCGTGCAGTTCGGTTTCAGGGTTACCACCCTACCTAAAATAATTACCATAATCTTGCCTGATTTTCCAGGCTGGCCTAACCTCGACTCAAACCAACCTCCTAGAAGGATACACATCGAAACAAAGGGACCGACTCCTTCAAAACATACAGAAGAGAGTGAGAGATAAGATAGAGAAAGCAGGAGTCCAAGTGACTAGGAATGTTGTTATGTTATTGAAGATTAGAGTCGCTGGAGTGGTGGAGAGGAGTGGAGTGGAGATTTCTAAGGGTGAGTAAATTTGTTAAGTGGCAACATTTCAAAGTTTTTGCTCCTCGTCCATACTGGGTGTAAATGGAATGCTCCCGACAAATGCCGAGAGGTGATGGTAAAAAACAAGTTTTATTGTCGTAAAAGTAAGGAATTAAAGGTTCCTTTTACTACCCGACTACGGCAAAGCAAAAGGACGGTTATGATTTTGACAGACTATGTATGTATGTTCATCTGTTCCTCGTAACTTCTAAACTCACCCGTCTCAATTGTCCGCTGGTTATAGGCTATATGGGGTTTCACAAGCCGCGGAGAACCTAACCGATTACCGGGGCTCCGGCTCGAAGTGCACGAGTAGGAACGGGGTAGTTTTTAATCAGTAAGAGTCTGACACTCCCTCCCGCCTCACCCAATCGGGAGAAGTCATTCGATGATTTTGCCCCCCTTAAAAAAATGGGGTTTCACAAAATCTTTTCGGTGGTGGCGCCCTCTAGCAGACAAAACATACAAAGTAAAAAAATAAAGTTAATATAAATATGCCGTGTTTGATATCATTTGAAAGCGCTTTACTTGTACATTTTGAAGTGTACATTTCGAGTGGTCGCAAGTACGACTGCCGGGCGAGGGGTCTCGGGTTCGATTGCCGGGTCGGACAAACTATTACTGGGTTTTTAAAAAATTCTCAGTAGTAGTAGCACGGAGTCTGGAATTGTGCCCGGTATATGGCAATAGGCTCACCCCCTATTACATGGGACTCAACATAAATAGTGAAAACTGGGTGTTACTTCTGTGTGCACCTCTGCCTACTCCTTCGGGGATAAAAGGCGTGATGTTATGTTATGATGTTATGTTATATTAATTCACTTAAAATAAAACACAATCAAATATACATAAATTAAACACTTCATTTAACTTACTAGTAATTTCAACCAATAGACGAGCTATTTAATTAGATATCAACTTATATTAAAACTAGCTTTTACCCGCGGCTTCGCTCGCGTCACAAAAGGATAAAAGTAGCCTATGTGACATATACCAATACATCTAGCGCCATCTACACCAATTCTTTTGTTTTCCCTCGGAAACATCAAAATTTTCCGGGATAAAAAGTACCATATTATTTATTCCGGACTTCTAACTTTACGTGTGCCTTTACATTTGACTTGTTTCCAGGTATGATGTCAATATGGAAGCCGACAGACGCAGTCACTGATATGATCAGGGAAGGAGTCTGGATCGATGTGCTAAATGTTGTTCCTACTGCTGTCAGGTGAATGTCATGACTATATAAACTACTAGTTGTTACCCGCGACTTCGTTCGCATGAAATTATTCATATTTCTTGTTAATTTATACTTTTTTGACGCGACAACGTATTGATTGGCGAGGCGTATTTGAGAGCATGAAACGGAACGTTTATTGTCTACTCAAGATGGCGACTGCGATTTGTCTGTCAGTGTCATTAGTATGAATTAATAAAACGAAATAATCTCTGAAATCCGAATTTTGCGGATATATGTTGTCGACTCGAAATCGATATTTTTTTATGTTTTGTTATTCCGGTAATGTTTCGATCGAGTCTACCGTACCCCTTGACGAAATTATTAATAGAGATATACATATAAGAAAGTAGAAGTACATAGGGTTTTCATGGTTGTATCTACTGCAGATCCTGGCTTATAGGAGTTGGGAAGTTGTGGCGGGCTTGTCTCTTTAGTAGAATTACAGAATATGGTTGTAAAAACTTATCTACAGTCAGAATTTTAGTTAGATTCCAGATTTGACAATAGCTACTGTCATTTTGTGAAATAATGATACCACATATAATAGTGTAGTGATGAACACAAAAATCGATAAAGAATCAGTGTATGTGTTTTATAACAAATGTTACAGAAAGTGACAGGATAGCGATAGCGATGACGTCGACAATTTATAAAATAACTTATTACCATAATACATCTATCTGTTTTATTTTTGATGTTCCTTCATGATTACGTTTTTTTATTTATTTCACACACAATTATAAAAGAAAAGTCTCAGATCGTTAATTAATCGTCGAAACTAAATTGTCGATTCAGAAATATTTAATTTCCTGATATACTTAGTTTACGAGAGTAAAATTATAAACGAGAAGAATCGATCCAGAAATATTGCATTTCCATATCGAATAATTTCGCAACATCACTATTAGGTACTTGTCATAAAGTTGCAACACTGAAATTGTCAAATCTGGAATCGAATAAAAATTCCGAGTATAGTGTGGATGGCGATGTGGCGCCGATTGCTTACCATCAGGCAATCCATCTGTTCAGTTAAAAACTGTCTTACACCTGCTGTTTTGCCGCATACTTTGGACATGAACATGTACCCATAACTTTAAACATTGATAATCTGTATGTTTTTAGCGTGTGAAATAAATGTTTTTTCTTTATTTATTTCTAATAAAAATATCCAATAATCAGTTAAACTTAATAAATTTTTTTTACCAGGGGGCATACTCTTGAATCCAATTCCGATCGATCTACATTGGTATTGTGAAATCTCGTACTCTCGAGTTGCAACACTAGCGCCCATTGCACCCGTATTGCGGAGATATTGAATGAACTAAATAGTATTGAGTTTGGCTTTATATTCCGTACGCTGAATGCTATTTTAACAGCTACAATAGAGGTTGTATAGTTTTGGCATTGGATAATTATTGAGATTTTATTGGATTGAAATTGCATTGACATTGAGTTGGTTTCAAGAATAAGCACCCTGATCCTAAGATCGGATATCGGTATTGTGTAATCAGTACTCGACCAATTTGCAAGTCAAATAATTTAAAATGTCATTTGTATTTGCATCTTCATAGTATGCTCAAAGTTAAATGTCTTCAAAGTGGTCTATAAAACTATATATAACACTACTTTACACTTTATATTTCAGGTACAACGAAATCCAAATATCAGCAGGCAGACAATCCATATTCAGCCTATCAAAATTCAAGGAACCTGAAATTATAAAACCATACACAAATACCCTAAAACGTAAATCATATACTATACAACAGCTAGTTCAAAACCCATCGATGTCAACCGATTATAATGAAATCGATACAATCGGTTTCATCTTCCTAATCGATCCATCGATTAACGATTTCGACTCGACTAAACAACCTTTTCAAAATATCTACCTTTCAGATGCTAATAAGAATATTATATGTATTAATTTCTGGGGTGGTTTGAAGAAATTTGGATACGATAATGTGTTAGATACAGGCCAAATTATTTATTGTGGTAATTTGCAGAAACGTGCTGGTAACACTAGAAAAACTATACTGCAATACAGGGTGACGGAGTTCACGTATTTTACTAAAACTCCCAAAAATGAATGTGCCAGGAATTTAATACATGATTTGAGTAAAAAGTTTATTACACTGGATCGTAGAAAATTTTGTGAAGACTGTGTTGTGTTGAAAAATAATTTCGCTATTCTTAAGAGTAATAATGAAAACATATCTCCATATAGATTTAATAATAGTGACCATAATTTTTCTAAAAACAAAATGTTCATTGATTCGCCTTTAGCTAGACCGGTCAAAGATGACAATTTCAACCTTACCGGCTTAGATTTTGAGTCCACTTTCAGACAAACAGACACTCAAAACTTGTCTGAAGAAGTTGTGCTTAGGAAGAAAAAAGTCAATGAAAAAATAGCGAGATTAAAAATGTATGGAGAACCACCTCCTTTATCAACTATTCATATAATTAACAGATCTAAAAACGCTTCGAATTCGTACAAAAGCCCTTTAAATCCAAACCAAAGTAATTCAAAAATCCAACCGCCAAAATCGAAAAGCGATACTGTCAAAAGTGACAGTTATATCAATGTTGCCAACGTAAATGAAAGTCCCGGTAAAAGTGGTAATTTAAATGATTCGGATTTGGTATGCAGTCCTGTACTTATGAATAGGACGTACGTTAAGAATGTTAATCCTGTTAAGATCAATTTTGATATTAAAGATAATAATGATAGTAATGTCGATCATTTTGCTGAAGAATTTGATGGTAGTCCGCCTTTGAGTCTAGATTAAAAACACATCTTTTATACATGTCTAGAAGATACCAATATACCGACATTTATTTAATAATGTTATACGCCCAAGGTCCTTGACATCGCAATAGGCCACAGCCTAGGCTCACAAGCCTCAATGAATAAATGAATGAAACGAATATCTAGGACTAAAAGAATAACGAGTTTTCGCTATTAATGTAGGTGTGAGCCTATTGCGATGTTAAGGATTCGAAACAGTCCAGAAGCCTTTAGCCAAACGACACTTTAGCGCTTTCTACAGAGAGAGTAGAAATCAAAATGTATGGAGATGACACTGACAAGTGTCAAAATTTAAGTCAATTCCATATACTTTGGTTTTCTATTCTACATGTAGACAAGCGCTAAATGGCATTTGGCTACAGCTGCTGGATCGATTTATATTTCGCTTAGTCGACTTGCTTACAACCACTCAAATAACGAATCTTAATCACATTTTGTACGTATAGTAAATGTTGAATTTTCTATTAAGTCTATAAGTGTAATTAATGGACCTTAAAATATCAGCAAGTTACTAAAAGTCTTATGCCCGAATAATGAAAGGCTACTCAATTCTTAATTGTACTTAAATATCGTGCCATCTCTGTCACTATAATAAGATTTTGTACTGACAGAACTATAATAGGAGCTAACGTTTTTTTTGCTCACCCAGTGGCGCAAATGTAAACATTAGGGGATTTTAGTCCAATCACAGCAGCTGTCAAATAGTGAACGTCCAATGGGGTGATACTAGCTAATTGCCTATTGGACGAAACACGATAGGTTCACACTAGTGCCATCTAGTGACCAAATATACGATAGGTGCCATTAAGCGTGACTGAAAATAGAATAGCGTTTGAGTATTTAGATATTAATATCCTAACTGTAGATTTGCTTACTAGAGAGACAATTTTGACACATTTTTTATAGAGGTTATATATCTTTTTATCTGTTGAAACACCGGCTTCCGGTATAAAACGAATTATGGCCGCAATTTTCAACTGACAAGAGGATATAAGATGTTTCTCTATAACAGAACCGTATTTATCATAATGCTACGTACTCACGACGCGATTTTCACCCGCGCCCGTCGCGGTGGCGGAATGGAGATTTATTTTCAAAACTCACGAGACAGCAGTTTTCGGCGGTCCCCCCGCCGCGGCGGTTGCGGTAATCGTTATATTGCCCTCCCATTGCGATCGCCCACTAACCGATCGCAGAGTACGCAATTGCTAGCTGCTTGCGGTTCTAGGATTGTAACCGCGCCCGCCATAGCAGCGGGATCCGCAAAAAATCACATGGCACGGGAGAAAATCGTTTCGTGAGTCCTTAGCCTTAGGCAGATAAAGTAAATGCCTGAGGAAATTAACGGGTAACCGGGGCTCCGGCTCGACGTGCAGGAGAAGGAACGGGGTGGTTTTTTAGTCAGTAAGAGTCTAACACTCCCTCCCGCCTCACCCAGGCGGGAGAAGTCATTCGATGATTTTCTCCCCTTAAAAAAAAAGGGTGCCAGGTTACAGAGAGGCGTTGCGAGACGCGCGTGCCCAACTGCCTATAGAGTGGTGGCGGCGCTTATGAGGTATCTGCCTAAGGCGCTGTCTAGGTAAATACGCCTCTGATCTCTACTAAGCAAATCTACATTAGCTATTGAAAATGGCTATCAGTTTATTAATGATTATTGTTGACTATATTATTGTTAAATGAAAGGCGTATTTGATATTTTTTATGTTATTAAGATTCTTTGAAATATAAATATTAAAAGTTGTGATAATTTGTGAAACGTTTTGTTATAATTATTATTTGATTATTATAAATGTGTAAATAAACGTTAAATATAACTATTTTATTATAAGTGGTTTGTTTTATTGGACCTTTAGATCAAATGATTTTATTTCTATCTATTCCTTTGAAACCATAAAGAAAGTAACTTTTTTCGAAGAAGTTGGTCATAGATAATTTCATAACAGTTCTTATATAGTACTAGCTGTTACCCGCGACTTCGTCTGCGTGAAATAGCAACTTCTGAAAAAATTGGGTTTTTAACTCGTCGAGTACCGTCATTATAGACACAATTATATAACAATAGGTTGCGGTCACCGGTAACCGCTTGGTGTTTGACAGTTTAAATTAGTCTTTGTCAAGGTATATTCTACGGCTGTACAACTGGAACAAATATTATCACAATCGTTTCAGTACCTAGGTTATATTTATTGAGAAATTTGTAATATTAAAATAACCGGTTATTACTACATGCATATGAATATTTTATTTTTTTATTTTAGCCATAGTCGTCTCACTGCAGGGCAAAGGCCTACCCTCTTTCCACTCATCTCTTCTTAAAACTTTCAATGGCCTATTCATATGCGTCAAGTTCATTTTTTTAAGGCATTAGCCGATAAACGAGCAGACGGATCACCTGATGGTAAGCAATCGGCGTCGCGCATGGACACCTGGAACACAGAGGCGTTACAAGTGCGTTACCGGCCTTTTGGGGAATAGGAGTTTGAGGATCGTTGGGATTCAGGAATTGGGGAAGGGGAGGGTAATTGGGCCTCCGATAACCTCACTCACACGACAAAACACAACGCAAGCGTTGCTTCACGTCGGTTTTCTGCTCGGCCCATTCGTGGTATCACTCCGGTCGAGCCGGCCCATTCGTGCCGAAGCATGGCTCTCCCACACTTAGACTCATCCCGCCATTTCCTTCTGGGCCAACCGCGACGTCTATTGACGTTAAGTGGGCTCCACTCAGTAGTAAGTATTGGCCACCGGTCGTCTGACAGTTCCACTTTAAGCTTGCGGCTTAATGACCAACGTCAGCAAATTTTTTTACTCTGTCCGATAATCGGAATCCCAAGATTCTGCGCTCCATGGCTCGCTGGCAAACCCTGAGTGTGAGTTTTGATGTTATGTCAAAGACCAGGTTTGAGCACAGGTGAGGGTGGGCAGGATACACACAGAATAATATAAGCTTCTACTTTTATTTTGCAAAAATTGAAACAAAAACAGTTATATTTCAAAAATGTATATACTATACGTTGTGGGCAATAGCTAGTTATAAACTAAAAACAATAGCTTCTGTATTTAATCTGTAGAGTTTAACCCCTTGAGCGTTCGTTAGTCCTTGCTATTTGAGTCAGGTGGCCATACGGTGGCCATACTGGCCTTGAAGTTAATATTTGACACGAAATAATGTATACGAAAATTGGAGTATCTGTTTCTAATATTGAAATAACAGCTATTCACTACATGCATATGATATACACACTTTTATTTTAAGGGGTAAAATCATCGAATGACTGCGCCCGCCTGGGTGAGGCGGGAGGGAGTGTCAGACTCTTACTGACTAAAAACCATCCAGTTCCTACTCCTGCACGTCGAGCCGGAGCCCCGGTTACCCGTTACGTTCTCCGCGACATGATATACACACTACTTACTCTGCCAAGAAAGTACCGGGAAAAGACCAATAATACACAAAATGTCTGTTATTCATCCAAATTTATTTTATCACCTTCAAAGTATGCTCCTTTAGAAACGATACGCTTGCGCCAACGAATAATCCATTCATCAAAACATTTTTTAAATGCTGCTTCCGGAATTGAGTTCAGTTCTCGCAGCAAATTCTCCTTTATGTCTTCTATCGATTGAAAACGGGTGCCACGAAGTGGTAATTTGAGCTTAGGAAAAAGAAAAAAGTCAGCAGGAGCCATATCTGGTGAATATGGTGGTTGCAGGATGGTATTTGTCGAGTGCTTGATCAAAAATTCGTTCAGAATGATAGCCTTGTGGCTTGCGAAGGCGCATTATCGTGGTGCAAAATCCAAGAATTTTCTTTCCACAAATCTGGCCTTTTTCGTCGAATTTGCTCTCTTAACTCATCGAGTACCGTCATTATAGACACAATAGAACAATAGGTTGCGGTCACCGGTGACCGCTTGGTGTTTGACAGTTTAAACGCCGCATAAAGCTCAAATAATATTTTCTTTTACCGTTAGACCTTCCGGTAAGAATTCAGAGTCCACAACACCGCGATAGTAAAAAAAAACAGTCAAAATGACTTTGACTTTGATCGACTTTGGCGTGGTTTTTTCGGTTTAGGTTCAGTTGGAAGGCGACACTCCGAAGTTAAAATGGTACGGATCGACTCGTTAGATACAGATAGTTCGGCGGCTATCTCTCTCAGAGTTCAATGGGGATTTTCAGTTACTATTTCCCTCACTTTTGCGATGTTAACTTCAGTTGCAGACGTTGACGGCCTACCAGAGCGAGGCAAATCTTCCATCACATCTCGACCGCTTTTGAACGCTTTGAACCACTCATAAGCACGAGTTTTTGATAAAGTCGATTCGCCGTAAGCCTTCTGTAACTTTTTCAGTGACTCCGAACACGAAATTCCATTGGCAATGCAAAATTTAAGACAAACTCTTTGTTTTTGTCTATTATAAAATTCGCAATACACACTATATGATATTACTAAAACCAGCACTGTATTAATTAATTATAAATAACAGATGCAACTCACGCCAAAATGGAAAACAAACAGTTGTGTCAATCTAACAACTACAAAAAAACAAAAATTCGAATTTGAACCTTAAACGAATCATCCATTCCCCATAATTTTTTGACTGAATGGCCAAAATATTTTTTTTTATAATTTCAGTCAGTCTGTCTGCCTGTTTGTACTAGCTAATCTCTGGAATGGCTGGACCGATTTTGCAAGACTTTATTTGCAGGTAGCTGATGTACTAAGAAGTAATATATGCTATTTTTATTTCATAAAAATATAGACGAAGTTGCGGGTACTGCTAATATCACATAATATAATTTACTACCAAAACTCCCATATTCTACCAAAAGTAATACGCTGATCACCCCAGCTGTCATTTCAAGGTGACCTTCAAAGCCAGCAAGTTTGACGTTTCGTAACCTACAAAAATTATTTTCATTTGAATTTCCTACCCGCGTAGACATGTACTATGCGGTAATATCACTGTAAATAACATCGTCAATTCAAATAACGTGTTAAACTATCATAAAAACAAGTTTTCAGTGTTATTTTAAGTGATAAAAGTGCATAAACTTGGTTCCGGCGTATCGCACCAACTTTTTTTAAAGCCGTAAGTATTTATTACTTTTTTATTTTCTAAGACACGTCGTTTCATTCAGCCGATCGGCGTGGTTAAAAATAGTACTTTTAAAACTACTGCGTCTGTCTTTAATACGCAGATATGAATTAATTGACTACTGAATTGTTAATTTAAAGTCAATAATTTATTAGACTTGTTTTACGTCGTGAACTTGATTTTTGAATTTCAATTAGATATTCCGAGTTTATTGGCTGTTCTTATTGGTATCAGTGCTCCGGTAGGAAGTGGTAATTAAAAAAAGAACAAGTGATTTTTGTTTACCTTTTCTGTTCTCTTTTATTTTTCACCTAAACATAAGTACTCATTCTATTGCGAATTATTATTTAATTATGAAATAGAAAAAAATCTTATGTAGATAATTAATATTTACATTTAATTAAGTATTGATAATTGAGAACACTTTGATTGAAGTACATTTTGAAAATAAAATAAAAATGTTAAATAAGCTACTAATAAATCCTTGTTTATCTATGATATCAAAGTTAAACTCTTTAGTTTCAAAGAAACAAAATCAAAGAGTTTATAGTCTCTTTTTATTACAATTCACTCACACAATTCCATAAATTATAGTTATCACATGTTTAGTACCTTATTTTAACTGATAAAATTAGTTTAAGAAATTCAAAGATAAATTTGAAGGCATTAAAATATAATAATCCTTCTGATTACCTATGATATATGATCTCAGTAATCACAGTCCAAAATTGTCTCCAGTATGGCAATAGACTCACCCCCTATAACATGGGATTAATAATATAACTGCCTGGTAACTAGTTATTAAGATTTATATCTCGTTTGTTTCTCAGTTCTAAAGAATAGGTAATATTATGATGATATTTTTCTAGCATGACCCCACAGAATAAGACAGCAAAGAGATAAAATAAATTACTTAAAGAATAAAACCATCTACTACTTATAATATAAAATAAATCTAATTTTTTTATGGCATAAGCCGGTAAACGAGCAGACGGATCACCTGATGGTAAGCAATCGACGTTGCCCATGGACAGCTGGAACACCAGAGGCATAAACAAGTGCGTTACCGGCCTTTTGGGGATTAGGAGTTTGTCGAATTAGAATCAATCATAGTTTTAACTAAGTTTAGGATATCGCATTATTGAAACTAATCCGTCCATTCCTAGACATAGTCTCTCCAATATCAGGTGAAATCTGCAACACTTCACATCCAATCACTGCCCGTCACATGGGGATATAGTAACTTCACCTAGCTGGAAGACACCGTACCCTCTATTTCCTCAGTCCTGAGGAAAAATCGGCCCTCAATTAACAATTTAAATTTTTTATAAAGCGAACGATTTTTTGTTTGAATATGTTGATCTCCAGAACTGCTGGTCCAATTTTAATAACTCCTTTTGGGTTTTTTTTAAGGGGGGGGGGGAAATCATCTTATGACTTCTCCCACCCGGGTGAGGCGAGAGGGAGTGTCAGACTCTTACTGACTGAAAACCACCTCATTCCTACTTATTCACTTCGAGCCGGAGACCCCTGTAACCCGTTAGGTTCTCTGCGGCTACGTATCGGCATCAGCCCTATTGTGCCCCATCCGTGGTGGTCTGATGGCTCTTTGAGGCGCGCGCGGAACGCTCGGCGCCGTACGCTCGGGTCTGGTTCTGGTCGGGCGGCGAGCCACCCGTGGTCGCCGTCAGCAGACCCGCGCAACTCCTTTTGGGTTGAATAGTGAATTTACCGAGGAAGGTTATAGGCTTAAAACATCATGCTGTATCCAATAGGAGCTGTCGCGGAGAACCTAACGGGCAGTAACGGGTAACTGGGGCTCCGGCTCGACGTGCAGGAGAAGGAACGGGATGGTTTTTAGTCAGTAAGAGTCTGACACTCCCTCCCGCCTTACCCAGGCGGGAGCAGACATTCGATGATTTTCCCCCCTTAAAAAAAAATCCAATAGGAGCAGAATATGAGGTAAAATTACGCGCAAGGAAATAGTGATATTATAACTGGCAAAAATGAGAGACCTTTAATTATAATTAAATTCACCTCTGTCTATTAAATTGAGGAAAACTAGCAGAATATATGCAGAGATGTTAATCATTTTTTATTTTAACTTCCTTATAATAAAATTGTCAAATGGTTTTTTCAATAAAATCCTACTAGTGTTTAGAAAATATCTGTTTATATATGAATATTTGCCCATGACGATACCTAAGTACGTGTGTCGCCTGGACAGTCAACCTCGCTACATCCTTGTTGACTGGACATCTACACTACATGAGCTGCTGTTTACATGTGAGCATTAGCTCATGACGATACTTAAGTACGTGTATCGCCTGGACAGTCAACCTCGCTACATCCTTGTTGACTGGACATCTACACTACATGAGCTGCTGTTTACATGTGAGCATTAGCTCATGACGATACCTAAGTACGTGTGTCGCCTGGACAGTCAACGTCGCTACATCCTTGTTGACTGGACATCTACACTACATGAGCTGCTGTTTACATGTGAGCATTAGCTCATGACGATACCTAAGTACGTGTGTCGCCTGGACAGTCAACCTCGCTACATCCTTGTTGACTGGACATCTACACTACATGAGCTGCTGTTTACATGTGAACAGCTTATGACTTGAACACGAGTTCCATTGAACTCAGTGTTTTAAGATTACGGCGATAACTGTTGCGTAATGGTCTTTATCTTCAGAATAATGACCATATTGTAATATGTAGTTCATTAATATCACTTCACTATAGTTATGATAGCCTAGTACTTTCACTTATAAAGTGTCGTACGTGTGTAGGTTTTAAGTATTAAAATTGTCATGTGCGTCAGTCAACTCGTCACAAGTGCGTCTGCTGAGCATAAAATCTTGGGTAGCAGCGATTCATGGGCTTTTTAATTGTATAATAAGATGTGTGGTTTCCTAAAGTTCTTAATGAAATGTGCACTGTGTGCCTAAAGCAATAGGTTTGGATTTGCGTTCGTTTTTCGGTAGAAAACCTCTAGAAGGCGCCTAACCTGTGCTAGTGTCAACTGAAATAATACCAGGTCTTCATAGAAAACCGACGTGAGGCAACGCTTGCGTTTTTTCACGGTGTAGCTACCGGAGCGCACACGTAACTACTCCAGTGTTGCGGTTGTCCATGAACGTGATTCACCATCAGATGATCCATCTGCTCAGTTTTTTTGAGGGGAGAAAATCATCCATTGACTTTTCCCTTCTCCAGCCTTGAGTGAGCCGAAAGGCAGACACCACCCTGTTCCTGCTCCAGATTCTGGCCGGAACGCTGGTAATTCGTTAGGTTGTGCGCAGCTTCGGGTTAGATCATCAACTGGTGTCTGTGTCCGAATGATTTTCAACCTTCAGGTCGAAAGATTTGATCAGCATGGCGCCCACATGTTTATACACAAGAATTCATGCGTTATCTACACATAAACGCGTGTAAGATTATTATCAAACCATCACTGGTTGAACGTGACCTGCAAATGATATTATCTTTTTAATATTCACGAAATTATTTTTAGAATAACCTCTTTTGATTGGAACAGATGATTTCGGTGTGAATTGTAGATAATGGATTGTGATTAGGCTGTTGTTATGGGTCGTAGTAATTGTATCACAATCTTTGAGTAATTTTTGAGTCGTGTGGTGATGGTAGGGTAGTTAATGCTTCACTGCGAGCACCACCTAGAGGACACGATGGAGCATACAGTGGCGGTACCTTGCTTGGGCTGAGCACCGCCGTGTCCTCAGAGATGTGATCGGCGACGGCGACTCTTGCGTCCGGCTCTGGTTCAGGCCATGGTGCGGAGCGAGGGGGACTGGGATGCCGTCTCCTTTTTCTGCGAAGCAGTTATTCTACCCAAAGAGGAGGCGGAGCGCGTGGGGGAACAAACCTCCTCACGCCCCAGCCGTCGCGGGAGACACTCCGGGCGTCTGAGATCGCGTTACGACCTAATTGGGCCTCCGGTAACCTCACTTAACACGACGCAACACAACGCAAGCGTTGCTTCACGTCGGTTTTCTGTGAGATTAAATTGCTCCCGCAAGCTAAGTAGCTTTTAGTGAAGAGGATCGTTCAAGTTTACTGTCGAGAGAGACCGGAAAGATGCGCTCTCGTATTATACCTCTATAGGTACCTAAGTTTGAACCTTTTACAAATAAAGTCAATATCCGATCTTACCCCAAAATATCTGAATCAATCTAGGTTTTTGACAGAAATTCATACATACATAACACCTTTTATCCCCGGAGAGGTAGCAGAGGTGCACATTACTGCACTTAATGCCACTGTACAATGTAACACCCACTTTTCACTATTTATGTTATGTGTCCCATGTAACACGGGGTGAGCCTATTGCCATATACTGGGCACAATTCCAGACTACGTACTACTGACATATTTTTTTTTAAAACCCAGTAATACTTTACCCGACCAGGAAATCGAAACCGAGACCCCTTCCCCTGCAGTCGCACTTGCGACCACACGGCCAACGAGACAGGCAGAAATTCAATAGTACCTATATCAATAACCTTCGATTGAAACCAGTTGACCATAACTGACTATACAGAGACCAGGCAGAGCAGCGTTCAATAAACCTGACTGAACTTCCCCAATTATTCTGCCGAGCAAGGAGGTTATGGCACACTCCTCTCATAACGAGGGCATAGTCCAACAGCGAACTGTCACAGGCAACAGTTGATGATGGTATTAAAATCACGGACTAATTCAAATGTTGTTATTCAGATCAACCACCAAACAGTTTGTTATCTACTAAATTGGTCGCGTAATCTTGAACTTGAGTTAGCCTGCAGATAAGATTACTACGTAACTACATATTACATAGATATTATACATTTATAGTATTGTAAACACATGGTATTTGAAGCAGTACTACATCTGTTTGTGGCAACAGATATATGAATGCGATGATAAAGAAGTATGTAAGGAGCGTAGTAGGTGGCGCTCTGTAGTTTCTGTATACGATCAGATGT